CACTACCACACCCACTGATATAACAAACACTACTTCAGCCATGAATATAACAACCACTGCCACACCCACTGCTATAACAAACACTACCACACCAACTGCAATGACAGACACTACCACACCCACTGATATAACAAACACTACCACACCCATGAATATAACAACCACTCTCACACCCACTGATATAACAAACACAAACGCACCCATTGATATAACAAACACTTCCGAACCCATTAGTATAACAAACACTACCACACCTGTCGATGGACCACCAAGCACCGATTACTTATCTTCCGCCCAGAGACATTCTTCCAAGATAGCTGTGTAATTCAAGAAAGACTTGCCGGTTATTATCTTCGTAATGAGTTGACTTTCAGCCATTGCAATGATTGAATGATTTATTGATGACTGTGAAGATGGAGCGCTAATTTTACTAAATAACTGCATATATCACACAAATAAGTTTATAAAAAAAAATGTTCTTCGTATAGCTAAATGAAACATATATTAAGCCGTATTGTTCTGTGGATAGTTAAACGTAACTTGACCTCGGACAAACACGGGATATCTCTTGACATTTTACCTGAAAATTAGATTGAAATATCGAAAGTGGGTTGTCTTATATACTATGACCAAAATATCAAGTGCGATACCTATAATCAAAGTGGGATAGCTTTATATTATCAAATATCAAAGTGGGATGGATTTGCACAGGGTATTATGTTACAAGATATCAAATTGGGATAGCTTTGCATAACATTATCAAAAATCAAAGTGGGACAGTTTCATATAATATCATCAAAATTTCGAATTGGCAAAGTTTGATTTCATATCACTGTAATATCAAGTTTGATAGGTTTGTAATTCAAAAATCAAAATGGAAAAGGTTTGCATAATGCTGATAAAATATCATCGTGGGATCACATGATATGATATGTTAAATTGAGAAAGATCGGTATGATATAAATGAAATATCCAAGTCGGATATATTTAGATGCTATCGATTCAATACAAATTATGAAATAAAGTGGTAATGGATAACTATTGACTCCAATATAAATTTTACTGACGCATGGGTTAAGAAAAGGTAACATGATTGAAAATAATTTTCATCATAAATATGCTAGAGTCTCTTTTATAGAATTTTTTTCTAACTGCTATATTGTCATTTGATATTTTAGGAAGAGCACTGCATGGTTTCACTAATGTGGTTCTAGTGTCATTTATGTGGCACATGAAAAATCTATTTTCTAAAAATCAATTGGCGGTTTCTGACTCCTTGACGCATGCGCAGTAGTATCTCTAAGCTGTGGAGTTTATCAGTTTAGTTGTGACGACTCAAGCATACCGACGCGTAAAATGGCTAGTGGTAGTGCTTGTTGTTGCACAAAATCGACAAACACATTTTTCAAAGCAACTGCGACCGCCATTTACTTTCTAACTTCCTACTGAGCATGCGTCATGGTATGAGAATCTCCTCCGAGCGCAGCCAAGAATTAATTACAGCTTTGGAAATAAATCGCTCGCGCTGCCAGTAATTACGCCGCGGGGTATTCACAAGATACCGCCAATAGATTTTTAGATTTTTAGAAAATATATTTTTCATGTGAACGAACCCTTATACTAGTGCTTTAATCCGGCATTGGTACCGCTCACCTCATCGTGGTACTACTAATCGTACGATACCTTGCTTTAAAAATGACAGTGCTAATTCGCAAGGAATCCCGGTTCATTTTCTTTCTGGGTGGCGCCAATCGATTTCCACAACTATAGATGTCGACCTTTTATATACTTTTGTATTCGTGAAATAACTGACCCTTTCTCGTTAATGACATACAACACAACTGTAAAATAGAATCTCCGAGACTTTTAACAGATTTGCTGTATCAAATGTACCACCTGTACCTTAATGTTTCATAGGAAGCGAGAGTAGATTTCCTGTAACGCATAGACCAAGTCCACTAGTTTCCTACACGGCTGAAATAAAGTATTTTAGACTTTAGATAAATATTATTATTAAACCAAATTAATCACGTGGTCAGCTATAAAAAAGTTTTCAAACTTCAACTTCAAATTTTTCGACATAAATTTGACTTATATGTCCTCTAGTTCGTAAAAGTCCGCCAAATAACGCAGTTATGTGTGACGAAGTTGTTGTCTTTATCTTTTGCTGATGTTATGAGAGCTTATAGTCTTTCTTATTATTTATTAACTATCTTCCAGTTGTTACATGCGCCGCTTCCATCATTCCTATTTCTACCTCATGCAAGTTCTAGCAGCCTCCTCCCCCCCCCCCCCCCCCCGTTTACATTACGCGCAGTTTTATAAATACCACAAGAGCATGTCAATCAACTCAAATCACTCTACAAAACACTTCCCGCTCCGTGTCAATTACTAACATTACATATGTATGACTACATTAATGCTACCCGAGCAATAACGCAATTATTCAAATAAATTGTCGATGTAACATGAAAAATTGACTCCCATAAAAATCTGACTCCCCCAGACAAAATTTCATAATGAAAATCTGCCCCCCCCCCCCCCCCATGAAATTTTGACTCCCCACTCATAAGACTTTATAAATCTTATTTCATTTGAGTACATAACTTTTATCTTGTAGTATGCATAATGGAAGATACATTGGCACTTTTTTTTTGAAAATTTTCATGAGAAAATAAGAGAATTAAAAATGTTTGTTTTTTCCACCCAATGACTCCTATGAAAAGGCTATGGGAGTCCAAATCCTACAGATAGTAAAATGAATACTTGTTTCAAAAATTATCAATTTTCATCAAAGTTATCACCACCAAACTTTCAAATATTAACAAAATATATGTCACAATGCAAACCACAGGGAAATAAATGATATGGTGACTAAAAATAAAATAGGTCCTTTTCTTCATGGGAGTCCATATCCCAATGGGTATGAATATGAAGATTTTTCATGATTTTTTTTTCATTTTTTACATCTAATATTTTACCACCAAACTTTCAAATATTTTCAAAATATTCTTCATAAAGTATAATAAAGGGAAAGATGTTGAAATGATCACCAAATATCAAATAAATAGCTTTTTTCATAGATGAGTCACTGGGTGGTAAAATATACATTTTTTGATTTTCTTATGTTCTCATTAAAACTTTTACCTGCAAACTAACAAAAAGTTCCAATATATCATCCGCTATGCATACTACAATGTTAAAGTCATATACTCAAATAAAATAAGATTCCTATAAAGTTTTATAAGGGGAGTCAAATTTTAATGGGGGGAGTCACATTTTCATTATAAATGTTTGAATGGGGAGTTACATTTTCATTATGGAAATCTGACTGGGGAGTCAAATTTTGGGGGAGTCAGATTTTCATGGTACACCGGAAATGCCCCAGAGTAATATATAGGACAGAAAGAAAGCATATAATATTCCTTCAAATACCATTTTATGTAAAACGAAGCCTCTTAATATTTCTGTAAGTTATGCTATTTGAAGTTATGTGGTGTCAATAGGGCGAGATTTGCAGCACAAATATTGCTTTAATGCATTTTTAAGATGCATGTGAAGCGAAAGTGAATATCCTGTAACGTATACAAATTACAGACTTTACATTTAATATGGAATATTTTTTTCCAAATCATATTTCTTCAGTTTTTTCCCATTTTGCTGACTGATAAATAAATAAATAAATAAATAAATAAATAAATAAATACGGATTAAAATTTTGTTTTAATAATCATATTCGCCAGTGAAGCAAACAAAAATACATTGCCTATTCTATGTCATACGAAAACCATTAAAAGAGATATTTTGGATATCCATATATTCCAAATGATCAGTTGTAAAACAAATTACACGCTCCACAAAGGACAGCAACGTTGTTTTGCCTGACCTCTTCCGGTTGCTACCAGCGCTCTCAAGCGGCAAGGCATTCCTTGGGATAGTTCAGTCTTGAATGACATTCCAGGCATCAGTCAAAACTTGTCCAACTTGGTTCAGTTTTGTTGTAGGACACGTAGGCCGTTGATTGGGTTAGTAATTGCCTACCCACACATTGTCTATGTGGTTCAACTATGGCTATTTTGATGACCAAGGTATTTGCTCATTCCCTTGGTTCTGTAAGGTATCGGCTATTAAAAGTGATCTGTGTGAACCGGCAATCTCAACGTACAACCTAAAATTGTGCGGCTTCTTTCTTCTGGATGTCTGTAAACTCTGTTTTGACTAGTTTAGCGGTACAGGTGAAATCTGACCTCAGTAAAGAAAGCCAATATTCTACCCGGAAACGGCCATGGTCCCCAATTCATCAGAGAAACAGACGTCGATGTTTTGCTGTTTACAGTGGGTTCCTCGGAGGGCGTCTGATATTATGACCTGCTAAAACCACTTTGGTGTTCGCTTAGGGCCTTGAAAAACGCGTTTTGGTGGCAATTTACCCCTCATTCTGAACGGACGGGTGGGTTTTGTTTAGTTGCAGCAGCATATCCCGAAAAACAGTGGGTCCTGTACCCTGGTGGTAAGATTTCGTTACACTGGGCGTGGTCTCTGTGTAGGTACACCACTCTGGGCATTACTCTATAAAACTGTGCGGCCAGTTCCGTTTGGCACAATAATCTGTCTGGCAGTCTTTCATTTTCGCGCTATTCAGCCACAGATTAATAAATTTGTAAATCACTGCTTATTTCACTTTACGCAGTGCAAGGCCGACTGCTTGCATGCAAATTTTTTTAAATTCTTTTATGCAGTAGTTATATGGATGCTTTTTTGACAGAATTGTGATTTGCCAAAGCCAAGCTCTGAACAGCCCAAGGGAGCACTACCCAATTAAATCACTGCATATTACATAATGTGGTAGCGACACACCTGACTACATTCTTCTCCATTAATTCACATATCTCACCTAGGCATACCTCTGAAACTGAAATATTCCATATTAAATGTCAAGTGTGTATAAGTACATGTAGCCGGTTTTAAAACGAAACACATTAAATTCCACATGCGAAAAGTTTTCTCCAGGACAGCGAAACTGCACCTCCTGCAAATTTCTAGTAATAAATTTGTTTCAAAGCAGCCTACATAATTAAACAAGTGCAGCAAAGCGTGCAGGGCATCAAGTAAAGAGCGGATAGGTGGCAGTCGCATAACAATCTATGGGGAAATAGCCTCGAGTTTTTGTCACCCTCAAGGGTACACAATCGGCACCTTGTTGTTGACTTCTCTTGACAGACACTAATATGCATTATAAAGACACGTAGATACTTGAACGTAGTATTTGTGCAACTTAGTTTTGCAGAATTAATGCTACAAGAAGGAGCCCCGTATCAACTTGTTAAATAATTTAGATGATCGCCATCACTTGCAAACACCGAAAGATGCTTTCCTATCTATGGGTAAGTCAAATAGAAATTAAAATACACTTAAGCCTAGATTACTTTAGAGAAGCGATTGGATTCAATGCTTTTGTAGAATTTTAAGATTTGTCAAGCTAATTTTTTGAAAAATGAAAAAGAAATTATTCCGTAGGCCGTAGCATTGTTGTAGACGGCATCGCAGTACCCGCAAAGGCATTGTTCGGAGGACTTGCGGTAAATGGTTGAACCTGTTGTTGGTCTCTATCCCTTTCACCTGTGGTGGTTTCAAGAGGCACAAGAATAGTGAAGATATTACAATTTTAGAGTAGTTCATTCGTATAACTTTAAAGTTTTGATTTTTTTTACTCTGACCCCAATGGTGCTTAGGGGGCTTCACCGTCAATGTATCGATCGTGTGGCAATTATATTTAGTTATACACAGGGATCTCCGCGCGATCACTATTGAACCGACCACCAATTTTCCCCTACGTGGCCATGGGGTCATGTCGTAGAAATGGCACGTAATGTAAAGCTAATGGCCGAAGCTCGCAGATACTTACGGTGTCAAAAATTGTACGGACATCGTATACGAGTAAATCTTGCGGCGCTTGTCGCAAAAGTAATCTACGCTTATGTGCCATGGATGTGATGGGTCCTTTGTAAAATGTTTTAAGACAATGTTTGATAATAAAAAAAGCACATTACTGAAATTGTGATATATGTATCACAAAAGTTCAGAGTTAGGTTTCGGGGCGTTCAGTGGGGAATTTAAACAAAAAAGGACTTTACTTCAAAACCCTTATGAAACACGGATAATTAAATCAAGTTGAACTCTGCCAGTAAACATAGTTACTGCATAACTTTCAATAAATTACATACAATGACGTTTAAATCATTCTAGGGATAAGTGCAATTGTTATGGAACATTTTTTCATCGCGTAAAACTGTCGTTAGGCACTAACTCGGGAAACTAAACTAGAGCTTGTTGTAAACTAGTGCCACTTTATAACCAATGGTCATAAGAAATAAAACTCTGAATGCAAAATAAACATTTTTGAAAAATACGAATATTATATCAGAATTGCTTACAATGTAACTTGTTTTAAAAAGATGGTCCAATATAATAATAATAATAATAATAATAATAATAATAATAAATTAATGTTTATTTGCAACTAAAATGGCTGGATTGTACAATATATAAATTATCAGTATTAAAATCCAACAAATGAGGATAAGAATAAGAATGAAATTCTAAATCAGCTTTAAGATTAAACAAAATATCTGGTACTATGAAAATATTTAAAAATACGTTTAAGTTAAGATGAACTTTTAAACATATGCATGTAGCGTTGATCGTTTTGAAATAAAAAAAGAGATAGGCGCTAATTCTGGAAACACGCATGTTCTCCTGAGGCATTACGTACATTAAAACGAGTAGACATGTGGTTGAATTGTATACAGGGATAATTGGGAAGACCCTGTATTGTATGTCCGATATGGAAAATAGACAAAGCAATCAACGCAACAATATATTCTGGTATGTACTCGGCTGTTTCACAATCAGGGGTACAAAATAGGGGTCACATTAAGAGAAAAATGAACTCTGATGCATTTGTTTAATTTTGTAACAGATAAAAAGAATAACATCTATGCATGATATCTACAATTTTTAGAGCACAATATTGTGCTACGCTCAAATTAACAGAACGCCCCTTAGACTATTATCTGGGAGTACGAAAACTACACATTCAAGTAACTGATGCTTTTGTAACTGAAATGTCATATTGTTTACCAGTTATTTTTGCCAAAATTCTAAAAAAAAAATCAAACTAAAGATATAACAGCAGTACTTTAACCAAAAGGATACAAGTACATGTATTAATCAAAGAGTTTTTTAGAGAAACACCACAGCACGTTTTTCAGTGGATGCTGGAGCTTGGTTGTGTGTCATTCAGTTTGACTTTCATTCACCAGACTTTTTTTAACTAATTTTAACTTTTCTTTCTGTTGCTTGACATTTTTTATTTATTCAATTTTTTTTTTTATGTTTGTTTGTTTCAGTCTTGATTCCTGTTTTTGGAGTCTTTTCTTCTATTTCATCTCTTGTTAATTTGCACCTCTTGTTCTACTGTTTTCAGGGTTGTTGGGTTTCTGCTTCTCCTTAACTCTCTGTCAGAATGCCCTAATTTCTTCCCTTTACTTTAGTCTTTCTTGCTGGGCCAGCCTAGGATGATTCTTCATTTTTTTGCTTCTCTTCTATGTTACGTTCACTCAACGTATAACGTCTTCCTTACGTGCTTCAGCAAGATTATCTTAACGGATATTAGCTTTTTGACTTTTTTTCAAATTATTTTTTGCTGAAAGTAAAATTTTCAGGATCCCTTTTTCTTTTCCTATTTGGCTTGTTTATTGTCATCCATATTTGATACTTCATTCACTGATAGTATAATAAATGTACTGTTAATTATGCATGTATTGAAGTGTTCGTACCGCCTCAAAATATATCATATACATTAATCCATAGAATATTAATCCATATACAGTTTATTATTTTGCAATAAGCTATATTTGGCAATATATTCAAACCAATATTGTTCATTTTGAATACAAGGAGTAGCATCTTTACTGATATTATTTCTTTGCAAAATCTCTTGCCTGACTCTAATTAATCAGTATCACTTTATCGAATATATATTTATATACAATGTTTTTTTCTAAACATCACAAGACATGAATGCATTTTATATAGTCTAAAACAATATTTTGTACCATATTTTGATGTTTTATCATCATTGATAAGTAGCCAGTTATCCAATGGTTAATGTATAACTTGGGGGTACGGACACTACAGTGGAGGTACGGACACTACATTTGGCACCAAATTCTTGCATATCTTTTCATAATAAGGGGTTATGTGCTATTACTTCCTGCAAATTAAATGTCAGTGTAGACATTAAAGAATAATAAAATCAGACAGAATATGCTGTGATTCCTAAATAAAACAGATGGGGGGGGGGGTACGGACACTACAAAAAGTAGGAGACACCAAGGGGCTCATGATTATAAATACCACAGCATTAATAATAATGGTTACATATGCACAACTCCTTTATTATGTTTAAGTCATAACATGGAAAATTCATCTTATTATCACGTAGGAGATTTCAAAGTAATATTTGGCTTTATCAAATATGTTTTTCATTGCATTAACAAAAATAAGTGAAATGTGTATCAAAGCCCGTTTCTGCAAAATGGTTAAAATATTTTTTTTTCTCAGAACATATCTTTGGATCCCCTGCTAGAAGAGAAGACAGATGCTGTGGGAATTATATACCAATATCATATTCACCATAAATCATTGACATGAAGAGCTAGCGTATCATCTTTATGACCTTAATTGCAAATGACCCACCGTAACAGCTAAAAATAGGTACTTTTTGAACACATAATTGGCTATATTTTTGTAAATTGTAATCCGATTATTATAATTCGTTTTTATTTTGCTCCTATGAACAGTGTCTTTGATAACTATCAGCAATCTCCAATCATAAATTGTTGATTTATCAGACACTTGTAACATTAACCACATTTAATTGTTCACCCTGATTGTGAAACAGCCGACTGTAAGTGAATTACGCGCACGAAGGAAATCCAAAAGAGATCTAGACTTTGGAATAACGTATTTTTCCAACGGATTGCACTTTCAAGAGTAATTTACATAAAATATGCTAATTTAGGGGATGTACAATGGTGAAAGCTGGTACTTTGCACGGACTCCATTAATTATAAAGAGACATAAACCTGAGGGTTGTTAAGGCGGCTGAATCCGATGCTGAAAAATATGTTGAATCTGAATAGCCCTGTGGCACCCAGGGATAAAGAGTTCATGAGGAACTAACCGAGTATTTTGAGCACCGCTTGTGGTTTAAAAAAAAACGACTTCGGAAAACATGGAATATAAATAGAGATACTTTAAGTTATGAAAATTGGGGGTCATTTTCGTGAACTCATGTATCATAAACATGCAAATATTTAGCAACATAATGCAGTTCAGACAAATTAAGGCTAATCAGTGATGTTATATTGGCTAGTTCGTTTTATTATTGTCATATATATATATATATATATATATATATATATATATATATATATATATATATATATATATATATATAGCACCGTTATATAGGATATGGCTCATCGCAAGTCGATATTTACCCGTGCACCATAAATATACGTGGTAACTGGTGATACACTTTAGGTATTTCACGCCCTACTGATCAGCATCTCAGCGCAAGGTGGGGGTTTAAAGCCAGGGGTCAAGGTAATAGACCCTGCGATCGTGACCCTGTACTCGTGCGACACAAGCGACATCTATGACAGTAGCACGTGGCTACTTGTATACCCGTACGGCATGGGCCAAGTTGAAGTGAACAACACCATAAGTAGCAGACAGGCTGGGGGGTTGATGCATAAAATTAACACCATACATGAAATTGGTAAGTTACACATTTGCATGTCTGTTTGTTTGTTTGACATTTCCCTAACTGGAAAAGTTTTGAATTTTGACGAAAATTTCAGGATAGGTCATTATATAGCCTAGTTTAAAAGTGACCAAAAGTGGCCATCCATGACTATATAATTAAATATTATCAGTTATCAAATAAAGTTTGTAAGTAACATTGTTCAATAGGCTCTGGTATTTGCTTGCTTATTAAGTAGTTATTAATTAAAAGGTTAAGTATCCGTTTATGGATAAGTAAATCAAATTGTATACTGTTATAAATGATACAGTTTTGATACTGTTATAAGGGATTTAGCTGATAGATTAGTAAATAGTACTTATAATAATGAGATTTAAATTTCCTTGGAGGCAGTCTCTCTGAGTGTTTTTCTAAGGTTTTAGGTTATTTGTTTTCAGGCAACTACCTTTTTATGTTAGCCTCTGTTGCGGAACTGGAGGACATCTTTGAATACATGAACGAATCCCAAGAAACACAAACTATAGAGAGAGTAACGAGACCCGAGGCAGAAGAATTTATACCAGATCCTAACCTTGTGGAATCTCTGATCAACTATACATTTTCAAATGATAACTTCACTCTCAGTGGATCAGCTGTCAACGTGTCAGAATCCCCTGAACTGAGCGGAACTGTTCCAGGTGTTGGAGCTCACAACTTTGTACCGGAAGGAGAAAAAGTGCTGGTTTTTACGGGTAATATGCCTTGTGCAATTTGCATTTTAGAGTTTACTGAAAACTACATGTAAAGGTTATTAAGATAACGGCAGAGGGATTTTGTTTATAAATCCTTAATTCTTAATGAAAGCACTGTTTACTTATATCCTGGGTGTGTATACATACCTGTGTCAAGCCTTGTTTGAAAACGTCATATTTTAGGCTTATGAAAAGATAAAGGTTCATTGCCTTCAAGTTAACCATGAACTTCGATTTTATTCATAATTACTGAAAATGATAACATAAAGACAGTTGTTTAACCAAAGACGTTTAAAATATGGCTTTTTCGGGTCCTTCCATTTATTTGGGGATTGTAAACATTGTGACATAACTTTCAATTAAAAACAGAGCTAGCTTATTAATTCTAGGACAGAACGTGTGGAAGTGCGCTGGCCACAGGTACAGTGACAGTGAGGGCAATGAGCACGTGACGTACTATCTTGTGATACCAAGTGACCAGAGTCAAGGTGCTAGTGAGGGTGACATCTTGGTGGGCTCTGAAAGCAGGGGATTTCTGGAAACTGTGACCAACATCGACCAAATAGGTGGGAACTTCTTTGTGCATTCCGATCTACTATTTTGTGGAGACCTGGAGGAAAATGCAATAGAACTCACGTGAGGTTTTATTTTGTTACGGACTGTGAAATAATGTTGTAATACCTTTCAAAGTCCTCATTTCCATGCAGATGAAGTTTTTTTCATCCCTGGTAAATCTCAGTTAATTTTTCTATAGCTAATGGCAATTGGAACTTTATTCGTATATTGAAAAGCCATAGGTAATGAAACTGCTTACTTACAGCATAAGGCGCTTAGTTATAAAGTGCTAAATTAGTTTGACAAAATCTACCAAAATATGTGAAGAGCAAAGCACAACTTTACATTCTGTTTTCAAGTATTGTATAGGGTTGGTCGAAGCTTTTCCTGATGAATATAAACACCACAGCAAAAATATGTTTGGCTTCCTTAAATTCTCACGCAAAGGAAATAAATGGTTTTGTTCTAGTGTCACCGATATCGACATGCCAGAATCTGCAATGTTTTGTCAAGGCGGTGACGGGATGCCAGGACTTCACGTAAATAATCAATCAGCTGCCGTCAATAACGGTGACATCATTGCCGGAAGGCCATCTGGCGCATATGCTGCAAAGGTATATTATATGTATCGTATTAATACGTTAAATAGTAGGGAACCCAGCAGGCATAATCGCGTTGGATCAACGTTGAAAACAATGGGGTTGATATAACATTGTTTTCTGACGTTGATACAACGTTGTTATCTGAGGATGACATAACTTTCAAATCCAATGTTAATCCAATGTCTTCTCAACGTTATGGTTCAACGTTGTTTCAACATTAAAACAACATAATTTGCCCGCTGGGGAAACATCAAATATATACAGACATATTATACAGATGATTGAGTTTTTGCTTAAAGATTTTTGTAATAATCTCTTAAGGGGTACACTTTGTAATAATCTCTTAAGAGATTATTACAGAGTGTAGCCATGGAGGTCACGTGATGTCATAGCAAGCACAAATTCCAAAATGATTGTGATAACCGCCGTTTTGGGGGCAAAATGTAATCTATTGTATTTCTTTGAGTTATTTACAATGCATTTATTGTGAAATATGGATATTGTTTTATCCATTTAAAATTTTGGAAAACAATATTTTTTTACCAAATATGTGCATACATGTTTTCTTGTATTTTAAGCATTTCCATAAATTGTTTCTACGTTCTATTTCTAAGTACATTATTCCAAGATACGGAAACGTTTTACAGGCAATCAGATGCAACGTATCGGGTATCTATACTGTTTGTGAAGTGACGCCCATTTTGGAAATTGGCAACAATGAAACAATATTAGCCAGCTCCAACCTTCCAACAGCAAAGGGTAACCGAGTAAAAAGAGGGACCTACACCTTTACACCCGCTGATTTCACCAAAGTCTTTTCAGCTACTCTGGGACAAATCAAGGTGAAAAGCCACGGAGAAAATATGCATGTACTAAAACTGTACAGGATGTAGTTAAATATTGTTGGAAAGGGCGTACATTTTGTTTTTACAGTTATAGAGGTTGAATTACAAAGTCAGCATTATTATTTGTCCAATTATTTTTCTTGAACACAATGTGTAAAAGTAGCTTCATGTAAATTTTGAAAAAAATCCACATCGTTTATAGCCAATGATTTTTTACAAACGTTTCAGTTTCCCTGCGGGAAGTTTACTGCGACTGCCGCAGCGACGTTTAAGGCATCATTGACTACCAGTCTGACTACGAAGTGGTCTGCTCCTTTTATTAAAAGGGTCCGTGCTGCAGTCTCTGCCTCTTTGACGTTAACTTTAACGTTGAGACTTGACATTGCATGCAGGTAAGAGACTATCAAATTTGGCATTGAAGGATAACAGCTGGCGATATGTACACGGGTGTTCACTGTCATAGCACTGGATCATCTCTACAAGAACCGTGTGATGAAAGGCAATCATCATATAACTGAGCTGCGTTTTATCCAGTAATTTTTACTTAAAGTGAAACTATTTGCAATTGAGCTTTCCGCATGACGTAAGTGGGAGCTGCTTAGGGTTGAACGGTAGACGGTAAAGGTATTTTTTCTGTGAAGAGTGGTTTGATACCTACTGGCTGTAGCGCACCTTTTGTTGTGAATCATATAATTAAGACATTATCACAACACACGTCATATTCTTACCTTCTTCACAATATTGGCACCAATTTCAAAAAATTAGATACTTTTATTCCGTGTACCGAGGAGTATGACGGTTGTCTTGGTGGTGTGGAGACCCACTGAGCTTATGCTAATACACGATTTTTATTTCATCGGATTTTTAACCGAAGAAGAAATTTTAACCATCGTTTCAGTCAATTGGCAAAAAAATGCATTCAGACCATGATTAGCGGGTAATCATGGCTCATCTGAACAAGAGAAATGTACACTTATACCCCTTATTATTAACATTTTTACGATAATAACTCTTAAAAAGAATAAATAAGAAGTTAGTTCTATAAACAAGCTTGTCTTGCTATTTCAGTTATACATTATCGGGCCCTGACAACCCGAAGTATAACCATCCGATCGACAACAAAGTCATCGTACCATTCTGTATACCTATATTTTGGGGTATATGCATTCCTGCTGCCGTTGTTGCCGATTTGACTGTGGGATACACGTTCACTGCTCAGGTAAGTTGTTTGAGGATGAGATCATATATATCTATCCGTATGTTAGTATATCAGTTTTTTTTTTCTTGTTTAACCCCCACTTTACCGTTTAACACTTTTGGTTGTTAATGCCTTACCGCAGGACTTGGAGAGTATAATGTTCTTGGTTCAAAACTCGTTTTCAGGCCAAAGGATTTGTGTCACTTACATTGGAACGCACAGGCAGTCTCAGCGCCTCTGCCCAGTGGGATGACTCTAGTGGCATGTCTTTCTCTGGTCCAACAGTAAGTTATGGTTAAACAGTGTTAATGTACACTGCATAGGCACTATTGTTCAATGGGTTGTCCCACCTTCATGCAATCCCATGTACTTTTATTGTAAACAAATTAGCACTTGACAGCTGTAAAGCATTTTGAAATTAATATATTTATGTTTGTCATACAAGTACGTATACCACAGCTGACATGACTCAAGGTAAGTCAAACCAAAGACCCTTTAACAAGGTATAAAATAAATATTCCCATCACCAAGATTCTGTTCACTTATTTGAGTGACATATGGGTTTTGTTGTTTTTTACATATTTATGTTACTTCATGTCGAGTAAGGGACTTGTTTCATTAAGTCATGCACATGTATAGCAGGTATTGAACGAAAACAAAAAATGCACATGCTTTGAAATAATTCATTACGTCAGTTTTTGCAGAACCATAATATCGCAAGAATTTCATGCCATACATTTAGTTTATGTCCTGTAAAACATTGATAAATTTGATTAATTAGGGTGTATGTAACCTCTGAAACGTACCACACAAGGATGATTTTTGTATTGTTCTTACCATTCTTGTGTTACCTTCCCAAGTTTTCGTTGACCCCGATGACCAAAAACTTCAATGGTGGGTTGGAGAAAGACGAGACGTTTGTCCGAGCACAACTTACGATAACCCCAGCGTTGAAAGTACATGTTCCAAACATGGCTAAAATTGAGCGCATCATACGAGCCGCATCTTGGTGGATCAGATGGTGGTTGAAAGATCTGTTTGGGGAAGGAGCATCAATAAGTAAGTTATTTTTTTGGGATTTTTGTTTTAAGTATTTGTGAGTCAATTAATTGAATTTGTGACTGTATTTTTTATTTTGCAAAATAAATAAAAATAAAATATGTTTGCTAAGATGTTAAAAATACATTAAAATATTAAATTATCATATAGTTTACAATGTGCAATGCTACATTAGTTCTGGTTAAAATATGCTGACTGCCACCTTTGCACATTTAATATTTATATTTTATATAGACTTGACATTTAATATGATATATTATTTCCAAATCATTTTTATCAGTTTTTTCCTGTTTTGTTGACTGGTAAATGAAAATAATGATTAAAACCGTGTTTTAATCATTTTTAATTATCTCTTTGATGCCATTGTGACATCAGTTCATTAATTGAATTCGCCAGTGAAGCAAACAAAAATACATTGCCTATTCTATGTCATACAACAACCATTAAAAGTGATATTTTGGATCTCCATATTTTCCAAATTATCGTCTGTAAAAGAGTTACACGCCCCAGAAAGGACCCTCATGACAGTGTTTAGTCATAGCAACGGTTGCTGTTACGCCTGAGATTTTCTGGCTACTACCAGGGCTCTCAAACGACAAGGTATTCTTTGGGATAGGTTTTTAGAGTTCAATCTGGAATAAAATTCCAGGCATTGGTCAAAACTTGTCCAATTTGTGTTGTAGGACATGTAGACCGTTGATTCGGCTGGTAATGGCCTACCCACATATTGTCTATGTGGTTCAAATATGGCGATTTTGATTACCAAGGTAGCTTCTCATCCCCTTGGTTCTGTAAGTTATCTGCTATTAAAAGTGCTCTTTGTGAACCGGTACTCTCACACTGCAACCTTAAATTGTTCCTAATGTGCTCCCTATCAAATGATAGTCAAGTGGTTCACAGATTGTTCCCTTATTTGATCTGGTTCAGGTTTTCATCGATGACTGCTTTTGGTGTTTTGGCACCAATGTGGTATCCATTCCAGATACTGACGCTGACAATGACCCTAGTCACTTTAGACTCGGCACACTCTTCGTCGTAGGCCTCTTCTGGATGTCTGTAAACTCTGTTTTGACTAGTTAAGCGGTACAGGTGAAATCTGACCTCAATAAAGAAAGCCATGCGGTTTCAGTGTTCTACCCAGAAACGGTCATGTTCCCCAATTCAATAAATAAAAATACGACGATGTTTTGCCGTTTACAGTGGGTTCCTAGGAGGTCGTCTGGTATTCTAACCTGCTAAAACCAGTTTGGTGTTCCCCGAGGGCCTTGCCTTAAAAAACGCCCTTTGGTGGCAATTTACCCCTCAATCTGAACGGACTGGGTGGTTTTTGTTCAGTTGCAGTAGCATATCCAGAATAACAGTAAGTCTTGTGCCCCGGTGGTAAGATGTCGATACATTGGGCGTGGCCTCTGTGTAGGTACATCAGACTGGGCATGTCTCTATAAAAATGTGCAGACCATTCCGTTTGACACAATAATCTGTTTGGCAATGTCTGTCTTTTTCTCGCCATTCTGGCACAGATAAACAATTTTGTAAAAGACTGCTTGACTCATTTTACGCACTGCAAAATCGACTGCTTGCATGCAAAATTTCAAATTCTACGATGCAGTATACGTTTGCAACTGAAATATTCCATATTAAATGTCAAGTCTGTATATGTTACATTTTTAATTGATATTCAGACTGAGGCACATACACTTGTGTGTTTTGCAAAATAAATAATATAGAAAAGAACCCATCTCTTCGTTGTATCAGACTTAGATCCGATCCTTGAGTTCGTCCTATCAGCACCACTAATTGGCAGAGCAGAGGCCGTTGCATGCCCTAGTGACTGCGAGAATTACCCTAAGGAAAATATTAAAGTGGCAGCTCACGCGGGACTTCCCGAGACTTACGACGGAGACCTGTACATCCGGGTACCATTGACAAATTTAGAAAAACATTGGAACCTGTTTAGCGTTGAGGGAAACCAATTTGACAAGAGGTAAGTTCGTGACATTTGATATTTGGAGTAGAAAATATTAACATTCCGGGTAAAGGAAGTGTACATCCGGGTACCTCTTACAAAATTTGTAAAGACGTATAAACTGTTTAAAATGAAAGGAAACCATTTTGATGGCAGGTGAGCACCAACGTCTGTTGACAATTAACGCATGGTTTTATCTTTTATAGTTGGAAATTCTAAGACGATCGTTGCTGTGATTCAGATACTTAAAAACATTTTGGTGACTAATATTTGCAAAAACAGTATAGCTTTGGTATTTTCTGTTGCTTAAGAAGCAGAACCTACATCCTGGGTAAAGAGCACCTATTTCTGCTTTTTTTAGTTTTTATTTTATTCAGTAGCGTAAAATATCATTGGTTACAATTTAAATGCTGCTTGACTTTAAATGTGCCGTTTTATATAGAAGATAATAGCCAATGGTTTATAAATTGTCAGACACAACAAAAACATGACTTCATTTGAATATTTTCTTCAGAACGTATAATTCAAATTAAAACATTCGTATATTTTCTGCATATACCACATGTACCGGTACCTCGTTCGTCCCATTAGTTCGCCTTACAAACCATCTAACTTAAACCATCGATACATAACTTTTGTTACAGTAAGTGCCTGGAGTGGAATCCCTTTCCGCCATGTGTTGGGACGACGACACCAGCCATAACTACCACAACACTTGATGACACCCCTTATAAGACAACTCCCCTATCACCTACTGCTATAACAAACGGTACCACACCCACTGCTATAGCAACCACTCCCACACCCAGTGATATAATAAACACTACCACACCCAGTGATATAACAAACACTACCACACCCACTGATATCACAAACACTACCACACCCATGAATATAACAACCACTCCCACACCCACTGCTATAACAAATACTTCCACACCCAGTGATATAACAAACACTTCCGCACCCATTGATATAACAAACTCTTCCGCACCCATTGATAAAACAAACACTACCACACCTGTCGATGGACCACCAAGCACGGCGTCATCAATACTCGAAGGTGACCCTCACTTGATTACTTTTGACGGGGCTTGGCTTACCTATAACGGGACTTGCCGTTATCTTTTAACAGGGCTGTGTCCCATTTACAAGGTAGGACTTCCTCCCTTCCTCCTCCTTCTAGTACTTTGCCACCTTCCGTTTCACTATCTTGCTCCTTCTATGTGTTTTGTATTATTATTTTATTTTAATATTCTTTTTTTTAATATTGACATCCCATTTTTTTTTTGCTGTTCGGTGATTTATTTGCAGGATTTGCTGTCTGTTGATAACGAGACAAGAGCTGATATTGGAGAAACATGTTTTTTTTTTGACGTTCTAAATATCACATAGTTTCCAGTTCATCCTCAAGGAGAAAAATAAAATTGCGTACTTGTACACGTAGTATTTGCTTAAAGGGAAAGACCACCACCTCAGAACTTTTATATTTATTGTTGTTTTTTTTTTCTTTTTACTTTTAACTTTGACCCTGATGTGTCTAAAACGTTTTATTTTCGGCTTATGGTTGATAGTAGACGGGTGCCGTCAATGGTATTATTCAGATAAAATCCAGTTTTACTTTATACGTGCCAGGAACTGTGCCAGGAAAGTCAGTGACGTCACATGCCAATATTTACCTCGGATTGACGAAGGAGCTAGGCGCGCATGAATATGCCAAGATAACGAGTAATAATTTAACTCAAAACATATGGTAAATTCTAATTGATGGTATTTCCCTTTGACGAGCTCTCACTGTACAATGTATCTTTACAAGGGTGACGCCGAATACTTCACCCTCAGTGGAAGAAACATCCTGAGAGGCGAGGTGACGTATGTGGAAGATGTCCTGCTGACTGTATACGGACATCGACTTTACCTGTCACACGAGGGGATAGTTACAGTAGGTTTTATGTTTTAAGATACATTTGTTCATTCTTCATAGCTGAGTTGCAATAAATATTAGATAAAAATGAATTTGTTTTAGCACTAAAAATAATAATAATAATAATCTAATAATATATATCTACATGTCAAAGTGATTAAGGGGTACAAAAACATGGAAATTAAGATTAATGCTGTTAAGACAAAGAGATTCAAGACATTCAGATTACGTGTTTAAAGCACAACCGTTATTTTACAGATGGATGGAGAAGAACTAAATCTGCCTTATTGGGACGGTCATATTAATATAACAAAGACTGTACTAAAGTATGAACCGGTGCTGCGCCTGGAGACGGACGCCTCGATAAACTTCACGTTTACAATCCGTCACCCAAGGAGTGATGGTAAACATCAACTGAGGATGCAAATTCCCTGGACATATCGAGGAAAACTGTGTGGTCTGGCTCAGAATTTCAATGGCGACCCTTCTGATGACTACCGCCTGTGTGACGGACAGGATGTCAGCCATATTGCGCCTTATCAAGTACGCGACCAGAAAATAGCAGACAGCTGTCGTATTTGGGACGAGATAGATGGTCTTAGGTGAGAGTGGTAGATACTTTTTTATATATTTTCAGCCGTAGGATAATTTTAACTAGATTTGATAATAATAATAATAATAATAATAATAATAATAATAATAATAATAATAATAATTTATTAAGATTGCAACCCAGTGGGTTGAAGTTGTACATAGAATGTTAAAAAAATATAATGATAATAAAATGAATATTTGCATGAATAAAACTGAGTTAAAAGACTGCTAACTGAACTTTAAAATTATTGTACTTAGACTGCTAACTGAACTTTAAACTTATTGTACTTAGGATAAAAGACAGCATAATACTATTGGAAATTTAAAAGTGCATATGGAATAAAAGAGCATGGGAATCTGTCGGTCTTAAATTTTGGCACTTTGTATCTATTATAAGATCTTAAAAGACGATTGGAATGCTCAATTAAGATGTGATTCAATTTGTCAGAGGATTCAGTTATTTTGTAAAGGAAGTTTTGCACAGATCTTCCCTTCGTTTTCTAAAGTGCACATATTTGCCAGGTTCAGGGCTTCATCATAGTGTAGGTCAGGGGAAATAATTTTTAAAGCACGACTTTGGACAGTCTCAAAAAGTTTGCATTGCTCTATAGTTAGTCCTGGATGCCATACAGGGCAGGCATATTCTAGAATTGAGCGCACAATACTTTGGTAAACTTGGATTAAGTCAGCAGGGCTGAGCTTAGCTCGCTTCAGTTGACGGAGGAAATAGAGTCTTGCACATGCCTTTTTATATATATGATCCACATGAGTACCCCATTTTAGGTCATTGCTAATATGGATGCCCAGAAGTTTGAACTGTGTAACCTCACCGATTGGCGTGTCATTTATAACTATTGGTGGGAGGTCTGGCTTGGAACGAATAAAATTTAGGGTCATGGTCTTGGTTTTTTTGGCATTCAGTTTCATATTGTTATTTTGTGTCCACAGCACTATTTCGTTACTTGCACTTTGTAAGTGGCATGGACCATCAATATTACAAATGTCATACACTGTAGTATCGTCAACATATTTGTAGTCTGGACATCTGGATTTTAAGTCATCAATCATGATGGCAAAAAGCAGTGGCCCAAGAAGGGTACCCTGGGGTACTCCACCATGTGGGTGTAGCCATTCAGAGAGTGAGCTTTTATATTTTACTCTCTGGGAGCGGTTGGATAGGAAGGACTGCACCCACCTGACAAGTAGTTCAGGTACACCCTTGTCATAAAGTTTTCTTAGTAAAATGTTATGATCAATGAGATCAAATGCCTTTGAAAATCCAGGAAAAGAATTCTGGCATACTTCTTGTGATTTTGAGAGGGTTCAAAACCCTGCATCCAATTGTGAATGAGTTCAGTTACTGCATGTGTAGTGGAACTGCCCTTGACTACTCCAAACTGTGTTCTGTCAATATTAATGTATTCGCAAATCCACTTAACAATAAATGATTCAAACACTTTACTAAGAACAGGAGTGAGTGATATGAATGCGATGGGTTAGTATGAATAACCAGACTTAAGCATCCCTGTTTTAGTTTTAATATATACTGTCTGGTACCTTCAGAAATATATATATATATATATATATGTATATATATATATATATATATATATATATTGAGAGAGAGAGAGAGAGAGAATAAAAGTGCTACAGATGCAGGTTACTCTACTAAGCTGCTATTGCAAATTTTAGAATAGCGAGAAAAAAAGCCCACGATTCTTTTTCCTTTTAAAAAGAGAAAAAATTACGTGTTTATAACCTTTATCTTTCAGCCCCATTTGCAAGACGACTTAGGTAGCAGCAGTTGGATGTACCAAAGTGGACCCGTAGTCGGAGTTACCTGTACATCTTTTCACAGATAAATCGCCAGTATTTGATGCTCTGCTCTGTTATTTACCCAAGGTGATTTCCCAAAGATAAGACGGACAATTGAAAAAAATTAATTGTCGTCATTGGGATTATACTTCTTTATATACTGTTGTATTGAATTGACAATTGCTGTGAATTGAAAAAAAAATGTAGCACGTATTTCAATTGATATTTTTTTAGGATGGCGCAGATGAATTTTCAAAATAAGATCCTGTTGGTGAGTTAAACCCTTTTTGTTCTGTTAATCACCTACATAAAAAGGCAACATTTCACATCAATATTGTCTTTGGTGAGCAAAAATGGATAGCTTTATATAACATAACTGGAATTTCAAAGTGGTATAGGTTTATATCATATTACTGAAATATCAAAGTGGGATAGTTCTATATCATATAACTGAAATATCTAAGTGGGATAGGTCTATATTATAAAACTGAAATATCAAAGTGGGAGAGCTTTATATCTTGTTACTGAAATATCAAGTGGGACAAGTCTATATTAAATAACTAAAATGTTAAAGTGGGCTAGGTTTATATCCTATAAATTAAATATCAAGTGGGATAGGTCTGTATCGTATTACTAAAATATCAAAGTAGGATAGATGCATGTGTTGTCACTACAATATCAAAACGGAAAAGGTATCTATGTTATAAGTAAAATACCGAATTGGGATGTGTTTGAAATGTTACAAATAAATTGGTGATAGTTTCAAGTTGTCTTCAATCTTTTTTTTTTTTTTTTTTTTTTTTTTTTTTTTTTTTTTCGATGATTTACTGCCACCTAGCGTTACAAAACAAGGTGGTTCAATAAAATTTTCACCATGAATATGCGAGAAACTCTTGAGAAATTGTGCCAATGATCAAGTCAAGATGTTTATTTTGACCCATAATTTAAAAAATAGATTTTGTCGTTAAACATTTAAGCAGGGCACTGCAAGGTGTCACCGTGCTGGTACCACTTACAGGGTATCTACTGCTGATGGACACTATATACAGTACCTTGTGTTAATATCATCGCGTAGTTTCATACACACTCACAATGGATCACGTGCAGTAATCATACTTAAAGATTCCCTAGCTCTAATGGGCAAAGTTTTCCAAATGATTGTACAGCGTTCTGCTCCCCGTGTGATAATATTCATATTTAACACATAAATAAATGTTTGTGCTGTGTTTTAGGTTATGTATGTTTTTGGGTTATAAATGAACTCATTTAAGTTTAATGCCGGTGCTTTTACCTATAAGCACGTCTAAGTTCCCATTTGTTGTTAAAGATAATGCAAAAACAAAGAAAAAATATTAAAATGCCATTAAAATACGCGTGTCACGGTATATCTAAAATCTGCAGTAGGGACGTATTTCGTTTAAACCATATAGATCAAAGATGCCTCGGTGGAGTGCAATAGAGGCAATTCAGTTGAACAAGTAAATCAGGCGATGCATGCTTCTCTGCAGTTCAGAGGTAGCGCTACACTGTTAATTTTTCTTCCCCTCTGTTTCACTGAAGAAGATTCGACATAATTTAGCATATTTTAAATGTGCTTCAACCAAGAAGATACATCTGTGCCTCGTTGCTTCAACCATGCTAAAGCATGCTTCATTGTGTTTACGTTTCGTACAACCTAACGCATTATACTGTAAACACTTCACTCCAATGCTTCCACTATTCTTCAAAGCTATGAACACCTTAGCGACAAATTCAAATTCTTGAAGATTATTAATATTTTAAATCTATATCGTCGACCACAAAATGCTGCTGGCAACAGAGGCTAGCTCAATCCCGCGTGAGCTTTCCTAACGGCGAACGCTTTCTTACACCTTTAAATACTAGTCCAGATAATAATAGTACTCTGGTCTGCTGGGGACACTATCTAGTACCTTGCAATAATACCACCACGTAGTTTCATGCGCACCTACAATGGATTATGTACAGTAATCATATTTGTTATTTCATAGCACTAAGGGGTAAATTAATCCAAATCTTACTTAAGAGTGAATGATTGTACATC